CAAAATATTCTCACAAACTCTGGGTCTGAATTTATCTGAAATGGTATACGGTTTCCTGCCCTTAGCAGGGAAGGGGTTGGACTAGAAGACCTCCAAAGTCCCTTCCAACTCTATTTAATAATAACAACAGTAATAACAATTATCCCAAAGCAATTGTTCACTGTATTTTCTCTCCCTGTTAAGGAAAAACATACAGAAAAGAGAAACTATTCTCCTTTTAGCTGTTGTTTTGTGGTTAATTCGGGATTCAGGGGAAATGTCTCTTTGGCCGCCTCCTCTGGTTCAAGGCTGTGCTCCAGCTCAAAATATGGAGTTGCGTTGTTTTGTGGAGGCTGTACTGATAGCAAGTGGGAGGTCTTGTGGCAGGACTTTTGATTCTCTTCACCCCAAGCCCAGTTGGTAAAAGCAGGAAAGTCTGCCCTCTTATGGACACCTTTCATCAACCCCTGATCAAGAATTCCAGTGACTTACTGTGATTCCTACAACTCAGTGCTTTTTTCCTAGGGCCACTCAAAGTACACCTTTGATAAAGGAATATACATAATAAGCAAACACCCATAAAACTGAGCTTAGATAGATAGATAGATAGGTAGGTAGGTAGGTAGGTAGGTGGGTGGGTGGGTGGGTAGAAAGAATAATTCAAATATTTTATTGTTTAACATAAGCATCACATCTTCCAAGTGTAACCCAGCTGCAACAGTTTGTACAATTCAAAACATAATACAGTCCTAAAGATAAAATACATAAAAATATCCAATATTTTAAGGATAAAAAGTCATATTTTTATCATTGTAAAAATTACAAAAGCAATGATAAAATACCATAATGGGTTAAATAGTTCACCAATTTAAAATGGCATTTTTGATAAAAAGCTGAGGTGTAAAAGAAACAACAGTTGTCATCAAAAGATTTCTCTCAGAAGAAAGAAAATGCAATTTCAGTATTCAAATACATGAATATCACAACAGTATTTCTTGGTGAAGAGATGGTGATAAGAATGGATATATAAAGGATACATAAAAACAGGCAAAAGATAAAATATCTTGTTTACCATAAGCATCACAACTACTTAACAGTAAATCAGGAGTAAAACACAGCTTTATTACAAAAAATACACATCAAACAGAATGTTACCAAATCTGAATCCCATTTAGAGATATTTCAGAAACAAGAAGATAAATGTGTGTGACAGAAGAAATCAAAATTATTGAGGTGACAGCCACATGCTGTGTGTCATGACTATTTATTAGTCAAAACATAACTTACACATTTTAAACAACAGCCAAGGATAACATTATTCCCAGATGGAAAAATAGAAATCTTTTATCAATCACTGGCCACACACTGGTCATTTAAAAGGGCTGCTAAGGTTTTCTTTCTGGTTCTAAGAACCATCGCCATGGCTAAATTTACGCTAGGCAAGAAATTATAAAATCTATTATTAATCACCAGCCACACTAGTCATTTAAATAGGCCATTGAGATGTTTTCTGCTTCTAAGAAGCAACATCATGCCTAAATTAAACCAGGCAGGAAATCTACTCAGGGTTTCAATGGCCACATCTAGAATTAAAAGGGGTCACACAGATTTATTTTCTAGTTTGAAGATCTAATGTCTCACCCTAGCAAAAAATCTAGTTATTAATTTATTGAGATGGCAATACTTCATAACAAAGTTCGACACCAGGTTTACTTTTGGTTCTAAGAGATCTGGCTGCTACTGACATTATTTCTCAGGGTATGAAGGTGGGAGGGAAGCGATCCAAAAGGATTCCCTTCCAGTTTGAGACTCAGCTGGGGATCCTCAGGCACTGGAGGAAGCTTGTAGTTGAGGGCTATTGACTCTTCCCGTGTGATTCTCCCTGGCTGCTCACTCAGCGACCGAAAGGGTCTCCCTTCAGTGTGAGGCTCAGAGTGTCTGCTCAGAGACTGAATGAGCCTGGGAGCCGACTGGCTGCTTCTCATTCAGTGTGAGTGTCACAGAGTGGTAACTGAGGGACTGAAAGACCCTCATCATGAGGGGAATGGGTGTTTAGGCATGGACCCTTGGCGATGGGTGATTGCAGGGCCTCTGGGCTGTGGCTGCTCAATAGGTTTTGGGGCATTGCAGCTTTGTCACCAGGATGGAGAGAGGGGAAGTGATGGCAGGAATCACAGCCGCTGGGGCCACTGGGGGGGGGGGCAGCCAGGCGAGAGTGTGTTGGGGGTACCAGGAAAGGGCGGGTGCATCAAGGGGGCTTCATGAAGACAGCTTGGCTCGCATTTCAAACGAACAAGGGGAGGAAGAGCAAGGCCGGTGCAAGGGGGAGGCGGGCTGGGGGAGGCACACAGGCGAACAAGCAAGGCCACTGTGGCTTTTCCCCACGCTTCCCTCCCAGACGGGTTGCAGTTCCATCAGCCCCCACATCCCTTGCCATTTGCCCCCGTTTCCCTCCCAAGGCGCAAGCAGTCGCATCAGCCCCCCCAGCCCTTGCCATTTGCCCACCCTTCCCTCCCAAGGCGCAAGGAGTCGCATCAGCCCCCCAGCCCTTGCCATTTGCCTGCCCTTCCCTCCCAAGGCGCAAGCAGTCGCATCAGCCCCCCAGCCCTTGCCATTTGCCCACCCTTCCCTCCCAAGGCATAAGCAGTCGCATCAGCCCCCCAGCCCTTGCCATTTGCCCACCCTTCCCTCCCAAGGCGCAAGGAGTCGCATCAGCCCCCCAGCCCTCAGCCCCCCAAGGCCCTTGCCATTTGCCCACCCTTCCCTCCCAAGGCGCAAGGAGTCGCATCAGCCCCCCAGCCCTTGCCATTTGCCCGCCCTTCCCTCCCAGGCGCAAGGAGTCGCATTGCCATTTGCCCCCCTTCCCCCCAAGGCGCAAGGAGTCGCATCAGCCCCCCAGCCATGCCATTTGCCCGCCCTTCCCTCCCAAGGCGAAAGGAGTCGCATCAGCCCCCCAGCCCTTGCCATTTGCCCACCCTTCCCTCCCAAGGCGCAAGGAGTCGCATCAGCCCCCCAGCCCTTGCCATTTGCCCACCCTTCCCTCCCAAGGCGCAAGGAGTCGCATCAGCCCCCCAGCCCTTGCCATTTGCCCGCCCTTCCCTCCCAAGGCGCAAGGAGTCGCATCAGCCCCCCAGCCCTTGCCATTTGCCCACCCCTCCCCTCCCAAGGCGCAAGGAGTCACATCAGCCCCCCAACCTTTGCCATTTGCCCGCCCTCCCCTCCCAAGGCGCAAGTAGTCGCATCAGCCCCCCAGCCCTTGCCATTTGCCCACCCCTCCCCTCCCAAGGCGCAAGGAGTCGCATCAGCCCCCCAACCCTTGCCATTTGCCCGCCCTTCCCTCACAAGGCGCAAGCAGTCGCATCAGCCCCCCAGCTCTTGCCAGTTGCCCGTCCTCCCCTCCCAAGGCGCAAGCAGTCGCATCAGCCCCTAGCCCTTGCCAGTTGCCTGCCCTCCCCTCCCAAGGCGCAAGAAGTCGCATCAGCCCCCCAGCTCTTGCCATTTGCCCGCCCTCCCCTCCCAAGGCGCAAGCAGTCGCATCAGCCCCCCAGCTCTTGCCCTTTGCCCGCCCTCCCCTCCCAAGGCGCAAGCAGTCGCATCAGCCCCCCAGCCCTTGCCATTTGCCCGCCCTCCCCTCCCAAGGCGCAAAAAGTCGCATCAGCCCCCCAGCCCTTGCCAGTTGCCCTCCCTTCCCTCCCAAGGGGCAGTCGCATCAGCCCCCCAGCCCTTGCCATTTGCCCGCCTTCCCCTCCCAAGGCGCAAGCAGTCGCATCAGCCCCCCACAGCTCTTGCCCCTTTGCACGCCCTCCCCTCCCAAGGCGCGCAAGCAGTGAGCAGGCCCCACAGCCCTTGACAGTTGCCAGCCCTCCCCTACAAGGACGCAGCAGTCGCATCAGCCCCCCAGCCCTTGCCATTTGCCCGCCCTCCCCTCCCAAGGCGCAAAAAGTCGCATCAGCCCCCCAGCCCTTGCCAGTTGCCCTCCCTTCCCTCCCAAGGGGCAGTCGCATCAGCCCCCCAGCCCTTGCCATTTGCCCGCCTTCCCCTCCCAAGGCGCAAGCAGTCGCATCAGCCCCCCAGCCCTTGCCAGTTGCCCTCCCTCCCCTCCCAAGGTGCAAGCAGTCGCATCAGCCCCCCAGCCCTTGCCATTTACCTGCCCTCCCCTCCCAAGGCGCAAGCAGTCGCATCAGCCCCCCAGCCCTTGCCAGTTGCCCTCCCTCCCCTCCCAAGGCGCAAGAAGTCGCATCAACCCCCCAGCCCTTGCCAGTTGCCCGCCCTCCCCTCCCAAGGCGCAAGCAGTCGCATCAGCCCCCGAGCCCTTGCCAGTTGCCTGCCCCTCCCTCCCAAGGCGCAAGCAGTCGCATCAGCCCCCCCAGCCCTTGCCATTTACCCGCCCTCCCCTCCCAAGGCGCAAGAAGTCGCATCAACCCCCCAGCCCTTGCCAGTTGCCCTCCCTCCCCTCCCAAGGTGCAAGCAGTCGCATCAGCCCCCCAGCCCTTGCCATTTACCTGCCCTCCCCTCCCAAGGCGCAAGCAGTCGCATCCGCCCCCCCCAGCCCTTGCCAGTTGCCTCCTCCCCTCCCAAGGCGCAAGAATCCGCATCACCCCCCGTCCCTTGCCAGTTGCCCGTGCCCTCTCCCTCCCAAGGCGCAAGCAGTCGCATCAGCCCCCCAGCCCTTGCCAGTTGCCCGCCCTTCCCTCCCAAGGCGCAAGCAGTCGCATCAGCCCCCCAGCCCTTGCCAGTTGCCCGCCCTTCCCTCCCAAGGCGCAAGCAGTCGCATCAGCCCCCCAGCCCTTGCCCTTTGCCCTCCCTTCCCTCCCAAGGCGCAAGCAGTCGCATCAGCCCCCCAGCCCTTGCCAGTTGCCCGCCCTTCCCTCCCAAGGCGCAAGCAGTCGCATCAGCCCCCCAGCCCTTGCCAGTTGCCCGCTCTTCCCTCCCAAGGCGCAAGCATTCCCAGCAGCCACACTGCCCTTGACGTTTGTCTGTATGCCCCCCCCCCCAACCCGCTGTAAGGGTATAAACTGCTCCGGCCTTGCTACTCCTCTTTTGTTTGAGTTATGAGTCAAGCTGTCTTTGTGAAGATGCCCTTGAGATGCCCCTCCCTCCATTGTCTTAAGGAGACCTGCAGAGAGACACACCTATTCAGTGTGAGTGTCACATAGAGGAAGCTCAGGGACTGAAAGACCTCTACAAATAAGTCATCACTATTATTTACACGATGGGTTGGCATGTGGAATGCTTCTGTGGCCCCTCCCAAGTGGTAAGAACTACGGAATAGTATAAAATCTATCATTTAAAAGTGAGTTGTGATTGACTTGGTGAAGGAACATTCTTGATGGAGATCATATTCATTCTTGATGGAGATCATATTCATTCTTGTGTTCCATTCCTTCTTCTTCCATCAACGCCGCAGGCTGACAGCTGAGTGTTCTGTCTTCTAAGGTGATGTAGCGTACACGCTTTTGAGATTAAAAAAAATCAAAGTTATATCAGCTGCCACTGGAGTTTTGCTATTAAGAATGCATAATACACCACAGTTACTATTACCTCAGATGCAGGTATTACCCTTACTTACCTAGGCATAAGGGACCATTAATTAGTGGGAGACCATACACCTCCCTCCATATCCCAAAACTTTGAAGAATACAAGGCTCAGCTAAACTTACCTCATAGTGTAGGTCACATCACAGCCGAAGGCTAAAACGGTTAGGCTGGAGACATTTTCTTGCTCTCTTCTTTTCTTCTTCTTTCGCTTTTCCTTCTTCCTCTGCCATGCCCAGCAAGTCTTGTCTCTTTCGAGGAACATTGGCAACAGGCGTGCAAATGTTCCTCCCCTCAATCTCAGAGATTCAAAAATCTTTCATACATCAATGGCCACACCTAGCATTAAAAAGGGCCATTGAGGGATTTCCTTTCTAGTTCTAAGAACCATCGCCATGGCTAAATTTATGCCAGGCAGAAAACTATAGAATCTATTATTAATCACTAGCCACACACTGCTCATTTAAAAGGGGCAGTGAGGTTTCATTTCTGGTTCTAAGAACCATTGCCAGGGCTAAAATTATGCCAGGCAGAAAACTATAAAATCTATAATTCATCACCATCCATGCCTAGGATTAAATAGGGCCATTGAGGAGGGTTTTTTTGGTTCTAATAACCATTGCCATGGCTAAATTTACAGCAGGCAAGAATGCTCTAAAAAATCTATCATCTAAAGGTGAGTTGTGATTGACTTGGTGAAGGGGCATTCTTGATGGAGATCATATTCATTCTTGCGTTCCATTCCTCCTTCTTCCATCAATGCCGCAGGCTGAAAGCTGAGTCTTCTGTCTTCTAAGGTGGTGTAGAATACATGCCTTTAAGATAAAAAAAATACCTAACATTACTTCAGCTGCTATTGGAGTTTTACTTCTAAGAATGCACAGTACGTAGTGTTTACTATTACCTCAGTTGCAGGTGTTACTTACCTAGGAAGGACCATTCAGTAGTGAAAGATCATCCATCTCCCTCCATATCATAAAACTTTGAAGAATACAAGTCCCAGCTAAACTTACCTCACAACGTAGGATGCCACATCACAGCCGAAGGGCTTGAGATGGAGACATTTTCATGCTCTTCTTTCTTCCTTCTTTTCCTTCTTCCTCTGCCCACGTCCCTTTCGAGGAACATTGGCAGCAGGCGTGCAATTGTTCCTCCCCTCAATCTCAGAGATTCAAAAATCTTTCATAGATCAATGGCCACACCTAGCATTAAAAAGGGCCATTGAGGGATTTCCTTTCTGGTTCTAAGAACCATCGCCATGGCTAAAATTACACCAGGCAGAAAACTATAAAATCTATTATTAATCCCCAGCCCCATATTGGTCATTTAAAGGGGCCAATGAGGTTTTATTTCTAGTTCTAAGAACCATCGCCATGGCTAGAATTATGCCAGGCAGAAAACTATAAAATCTATTATTAATCCCAAGCCCCATATTGGTCATTTAAAGGGGCTGCTGAGGTTTTTTTTCTGGTTGTAAGAACCATCGCCAGGACTAAAATTACACCAGGCAGAAAACTATAAAATCTATTATTAATCACCGGCCACACACTGGACATTTAAAGGGGCCAATGAGGTTTTTTTTCTGGTTCTAAGAACCATCGCCATGGCTAAATTACACCAGGCAGAAAACTATAAAATCTATAATCCACAGCCATGCCCAGAATTAAATAGGGCCATTGAGGAGGTTTTTTTGGTTCTAATAACCATCGCCATGGCTAAATTTACAGCAGGCAAGAATGGTATCTAATCTGTCATCTAAAGGTGAGTTGTGATTGACGTGGTGAAGGGGCATTCTTGATGGAGATCATATTCATTCTTGCGTTCCATTCCTCCTTCTTCCATCAATGCCGCAGGCTGACAGCTGAGTCTTCTGTCTTCTAAGGTGGTGTAGAGTACATGCCTTTGAGATAAAAAAGACCTAACATTACTTCAGCTGCCATTGGAGTTTTACTCCTAAGAATGCACAGTACGTAGTGCTTACTATTACCTCAGTTGCAGGTATTACTTACCTAGGAAGGACCATCCACCTCCCTCCATATCATAAAACTTTGAAGAATACAAGTCCCAGCTAAACTTACCTCACAACATAGGAGGCCACATCACAGCCGAAGGGCTTGAGCTGGAGACATTTTCATGCTCTCTTCTTTCTTCTTCGTTCTTTTCCTTCTTCCTCTGCCCACCTCCCTTTCAAGGAACATTGGCAGCAGGCGTGCAATTGTTCCTCGCCTCAATCTCAGAGATTCAAAAACTCTAACATCTTTTATAGATCAATGGCCACACCTAGCATTAAAAAGGGCCATTGAGGGATTTCCTTTCTAGTTCTAAGAACCATCGCCATGGCTAAATTTACACCATGCAGAAAACTATAAAATCTATTATTAATCACTGGCCACACACTGGTCATTTAAAGGGGCCTCTGAGGTTTCATTTCTGGTTCTAAGAACCATTGCCAGGGCTAAAATTACGCCAGGCAGAAAACTATAAAATCTGTTATCCATCAACAGCCATGCCTAGGATTAAATAGGGCCATTGAGGAGGTTTTTTTGGTTCTAACAACCATTGCCATGGCTAAATTTACAGCAGGCAAGAATGCTCTAAAATCTATCATTTAAAGGTGAGTTGTGATTGACTGGTGAAGTAGCATTCTTGATGGAGATCATATTCATTCTTGCGTGCCATTCCTCCTTCTTCCATCAACGCCGCAGGCTGACAGCTGAGTCTTCTGTCTTCTAAGGTGGTGTAGAGTACATGCCTTTGAGATAAAAAAAGACCTAACATTACTTCAGCTGCCATTGGAGTTTTACTCCTAAGAATGCACAGTACGTAGTGCTTACTATTACCTAAGTTGCAGGTGTTACTTACCTAGGAAGGACCATCCACCTCCCTCCATATCATAAAACTTTGAAGAATACAGGTCCCAGCTAAACTTACCTCACAACATAGGAGGCCACATCACAGCCGAAGGGCTTCAGCTGGAGACATTTTCATGCTCTCTTCTTTCTTCTTCTGCTTCTGTTTCTTCCTCAGTCGTGCCCAGCAGGTCTTGTCTCTTTCGAGGATCTTTTGGCAGCAGGTGTGCGATCGTTCCTCCACTCAGTCTGCAAAGCTAGAAAACCCTAATCTCTTTTCTAGATCAACGGCCACAGCTAATATTAAAAATGGCTGTTGAGGTTTTATTTCGGGTTCTAAAAACCATCTCCAGGGCATGAAAACAATACCGCAATCAAGGAACGGTCAAAGAACCTAACAACAAATAGCGCAACTAAGAACCACTAAGACTATTTTCAACAATACTGAAAGAAGCCACTCAAACATAACCTGACAGCAAGCCACACTCCCTTCTACTAGCACTGATGATGTTCCCTAGTTGGGTAATGAAAAATCTACGAGAAAGCCACCAAGTTCACAGAGCACCAAGGATGCCTCATTTCAACTTTGAGCCATAAATATTCTCCTTTATTGGTATTCCTCACATTAAAAAGCATCATCATGCTTACTTTCATTTATAAGAATTAAACCATCTGTCTTACTGTTGGTGTCTTCTTCTTCGTCTACAGGTCAGCTTGGATTCATGCCTTCGAACTAAAAAAATCAACGTTACTTCAGCTGCCACTGGAGTTTTACTCCTAAGAATGCACAATACACAATGCTTACTACTATCCCAGACATAGGTGGTATACTTATCTAAACATAATGGACCACCTCCCTCCATATCCTAAAACTTTGAAGAATACAAGACTCGGCTAAACTTACCTCACAGTGTAGGACGCCACATCACAGGGATTGCGCTGGAGACATTTTCATGCTCTCTTCTTTATTCTTTTACTTTTTCTTCTTCTGCCATGCCCAACAAGTTGTCTCTTTCAAGGAACATTGGCAGCAGTTGTGCAATTGTTCCTCCCCTCAATCTCAGAGATTCAAAAACTCTAACATCTTTTATAGATCAACGGCCACACTTAGCATTAAATAGGGCCATTGAGGTTCTCTTTCTGGTTCTGAGAACCATCGCCATGGCTAAAATTATGCCAGGCATAAAACTATAAAATTTATTATTAATCACTGGCCACATACTGGTCATTTATAAGGGCCAATGAGGTTTTGTTCTGGTTCTAAGAACCATCGCCAGGCTAAAATTACGCCAGGCAGAAAACTATAAAATCTATTATTAATCACTGGCCACACACTGGTCATTTAAAGGGGCCAATGAGGTTTTGTTCTGGTTCTAAGAACCATCGCCAGGCTAAAATTACGCCAGACAGAAAACTATAAAATCTATAATCCATCAACAGCCATGCCTAGGATTAAATAGGGCCATTGAGGAGGTTTTTTTGGTTCTAATAACCATCGCCAGGCTAAAATTACGCCAGGCAGAAAACTATAAAATCTATTATTAATCACTGGCCACACACTGGTCATTTAAAAGGGCCAGTGAGGTTTCATTTCTGGTTCTAAGAACCATTGCCAGGTCTAAAATTATGTTAGGCAGAAAACTATAAAATCTATAATCCATCAACAGCCATGCCTAGGATTAAATAGGGCCATTGAGGAGGATTTTTTGGTTCTAATAACCATTGCCATGGCTAAATTTACAGCAGGCAAGAATGCTCTAAAAAATCTATCATCTAAAGGTGAGTTGTGATTGACTTGGTGAAGTATCATTCTTGATGGAGATCATATTCATTCTTGCGTTCCATTCCTACTTCCATCAATGCCGCAGGCCGACAGCTGAGTCTTCTGTCTTCTAAGGTGGTGTAGAATACATGCCTTTGAGATAAAAAAAGACCTAACATTACTTCAGCTGCCATTGGAGTTTTACTCCTAAGAATGCACAGTACGTAGTGCTTACTATTACCTCAGTTGCAGGTGTTACTTATCTAGGAAGGACCATCCACCTCCCTCCATATTCCAAAACTTTGAAGAATACAAGACTCGGCTAAACTTACCTCACAGCGTAGGACGCCACATCACAGCCGAAGGGCTTGAGCTGGAGACATTTTCATGCTCTCTTCTTTCTTCTTTTTCTTTTGTTTCTTCCTCAGTCGTGCCCAGCAAGCGTTGTCTCTTTCGAGGAACTTTTGGCAGCAGGTGTGCGATTCTTCCTCCGCTCAGTCTGCAAAGCTAGAAAACCCTAACCTCAACGGCCACAGCTAATATTAAAAATGGCCATTGAGGTTTTATTTCAGGTTCTAAAAACCATCGCCATGGCAAGAAAACAATACCGCAATCAAGGAACGGTCAAAGAAGCTAACCACAAATACCACAACAAAGGACCTCCAAGACCATTTTCAACAACACTGAAAAAAGCTACTCGAACATAAACTGACAGCAAACCACACTCCCTTCTACTAGCACTGATGATGTTCCCTAGTTTGCTAATGAAACGTCTACAAGAAAACCACCAAGCTCAGAGAGCACCAAGGACGCCTTATTTCTAGTGTGAGACGATTGCAAAGGATTGCCTTCCAGTTTGAGTCTCACTGAGGGGGTCCTCAGGCATTGGAGGAGTGGACCCTGTTCACTCTACCAGTGTGATTCGCCCTCAGTGCGTGCTCAGGGACTGAAAGGGTCACCCAGGCCCACCCCAGAGAGGACTTCCAGTGTGAGTCCCCCACAGTGTTTGCTCAGGGATTCAATGAGACAGGTAGCAGTTTGCTTCCCCGGCTCATTCAGTGTGAGTGTCACAGAGTGGAAGCTCAGGGACCGAAAGACCTCCACCAGGGGGGGCATCACCAAAATCGCCATGTCTGTGGGTATGTGGGATGCTCCTAGGACCCTGTCTAATTCTAAGAACCGCAGCTAATAGTTAAACTTGTGACAGCTCAGATTTTTTTTTTTACCATTGATACTTTGTAAACAATTTTTGCAGGAATAAACATGTTGCAAACAGTATCTGCCAGGCTTCCACACTTTCATGATATACTGGAGAATGAATTAAACCATCTGTCTTACTGTTGATGTCTTCTTCTTCGTCTATATGGATTCATGCCTTTGAAATTAAAAAAAATCAACATCACCAAATGACCAGCTTATGTTCAGAGACTAGAAAAGCAATCAATCAAAAGGGGATTTTTGTGTTTTGTCCTACGAGTGAAAGAAGACAATAATGAATTGAAACAATTGTCCCCTTGAGAATTCTTCAGACCATGCAACTAGTCATCTTTTACATGTTTTGCTTCATTTGAGGACTTGAGCCTTGACTAAAATTTCCTCAGGTCCCAAGAGTTGACTTGGGAGAAAATAAGGGCAACTCCAGATACTGAAGCAATTTCCTGAGAGTTAAGCCAGGTCTTGGGCCTGAAGTAATTTTAGTTAACTTTCACCTCTACTTATTTGAAATACTTTTTAGCCTGCAAGGACATGGCTAAGATAACCTCACTTTACCCCCAAGCTAATTTTAACTCTCATTCCCTGTGGTGGTTTGGGTCCCTTTTAAAAGGACATAATAATAATAAAGTTGGAAGGGATCTTGGAGGTCATCTAGTCCAACCCCCTGCTCAGGCAGGAAACCCTATACCATTTCAGACAAATGGCTGTCCATGCTGAGATTATCTCAGGTTCCATCAATATTTTACTCTAAGGACCTGAGCCTTGGCTAAAATTGCCTCAGGCCTCCAGAATTGACTTTATTTCAAGAAAATAAGTCCAATTCCCTAACCTGAAGTAATTTTAGTTAACTTTTTTATTTAGTTACTTGAATTAGCTAGTCCTCTACATATTTTGCTTCTTTTAAGGATTTGAGCCTTGACCAAAACTTCCTCAGGTCCCAAGAGCTGACTTTATTCAAGAAAGGGCAACTCCAGGGACTGAAGTCATTTTGCCTTTAAGCTAATTTTAATGCTTGTTCACCTGTGGTAGTTTAGCCCTTTTAACTACACCTGGCTAAAATTGCCTCAGCTTACTGCATGGACATGGCTAAAATTATCTCAGATTTACTCCAACATTTTATTCTAAGAACTTGAAGTCCTGGCTAAAATTCCCTCAGGCACCAAGAATTCACTTTATTCCCGAGAGGAAGGTCCGCTCCTGAGGCAATTTTATCTTTAAAGTTAATTTTAACTCTTATTCACCTGTGGTGGTTTGGTCCTTTTTTAAAAACAACATGGCTGAAATTATCTCAGGTTCCACCAAAATTTTAAAAACCTGCGCTTTGACTAGAATTACTTCAAGACACAGCGGTTTGCGTTATTCCCCGTATCTTTAGTGACCTGTGGTATTGGCGTCCTTTGAATAAAACACCGTTGAGATATTACCTTAGCCACCCGTGCGTTTTACTCCAAAGAATACACGCGGCGCTTAAAATTATCACAGGTGCTATCCTGACTCCCCGAGACCAATAAGCTATTAATTAGCTAAAGAACTCGCGCTCCCCTCAGTATCTTACAACGTAGAAAAGTCTCCGCTAGAATTACCTCAAAGCTCAAAAGGCCCTGCCCGGCCTCGAGCTGGAGGGCTTGGGCCGCGGGAACGCCAGAGAGAGACTTTTTAGCCCCCCGGCGCCCCGCAGCATCGGCCCTTTCTGTTCCACCAAAATTTTAAGAACTTGAGTTTTGACTAAAATGACTTCAAGACCCAGCAATTTGCCAAGACTTGAGACAAGTGTCTTTAGGGACCTGTGGTATTGGCGTCGTGTGAATAAAACACCGTCGAGATATTACCTCAGCCACCCCTGGCGTTTTATTCCAAAGAATACGCGCCGCGCTTAGAATTACCACAGGGGCTATTAATTCGCTCAAGAACTCGCGCTCCCCTCACGCTCCCCTCAGGCATCTTACAGCTAGAAAAGTCTCCGCTAGAATTACCTCAAAAGCTCAAAAGGCCCTGCCCGGCCTCGAGCTCGAGGGCTTGGGCCGCGGGAGCACCGGAGAGAGACATTTTGGCCCCCCGGCGCCCCGCAGCATCGTCCCTTTCGGGGACCGAGAGACGCGGTAGCGGCGTCTGCTGCCTGGGCAGCGCGCTCGCTTTGCTTTTTTGCACTCAGCCTAAGGAGCCCGCCGACTTTTTAAATGTCCCCGCCTCTCGGAGAAGGGACAGACTGCTCAGCCAATCCTAGAGGAGCATTTTCGGAGAAGCCAATCACGGGCGAGATGGGCGAGCAGAAAGAAACCCGCTAGGCGGTCCGAGGGCGCTGGGCGGGAAGGGCGCGTGCTCCTGCGCGCGAAAACACAGGTGTGATCGGTCTGCTGTCTCCCCTGCTCGCGGGGCGGTTGCCATGGAGACGGGTGTGGAGCGCGGGAAGGCTCATCACGGCCAGATGGGTCTCGGCCGCACAGGTGAAGGCGATTAGGCGGCTGCGACGCTGGGTATGGGTGTGAAATGCCTTGTCCTCAAGGTTCCTCCCCCCCCTGCTTAAAATGCTCACTTTTTTCAAAAATATCTGAAAATGTAATATATACAAAAAAATAATAAAAATAAAACTATGGTTATATATACAGTATAGGAGATACTTTGGACTACAGGTCCCATTAGCCGGCCTTGTGGGAGGGGTGATGGGGATTGCCTCTCTTACAACAGATTGCCATTCTGGTTGGTGGGTCGTCCCCTCCACCTAAAATTCAAAGCTCTTTTTCTGTTTTTTGTTTGCATCTTCTCCTCCCTGTCATAATCTTGCCAGGCAGCCCTTGGTTTTATTTTGAATTATTTTTTTCAGTCTTTTTTTCTTTAAGAAAAAAAAAAATCCAGAGCTGGTTTATTTTGCTTTCCTTTGCTTTCTAGGATTCTGCTAAAATGTTATAACAGAGTTTCTGAAACATAGTGTCTTGCCCAATGAAAGAAATTGACTCAAATTTGAAAATATTTTTTCCTTTTTCTATTATTGGAACTCTTCCCTACCCACAATTAAATGTTTTCAAAAGAAGTCCGATACATTTATATCCCCATAAGGATTTTAATACATTTTAATGAGACCCCTCTCAACATTTTCCACCATGTTGTGCCCTCTAGATAGAGTCTAGAAAGAGTGCAGAGAAGAGCAAACACAGATGATTAGGGATCTGGAGGCTAAAATATATGAAGAATGGTTGCAGGAATTGGGTATATCTAATTCAGGGGTCTCCAAACTTGGCAACCTTTAACTTGTGGGCTTCAATTTTCAGAATTCCCCAGATAACTTGGATGGCTGGGAAATTCTGGGAATTGAAGTTCATACGTCTTAAAGTTGCCAAGTTTTTGAGACCCCTGGTCTAATTTCATGAAAAGGAGGATTAGGGGTGACATGATAGTCTTCCAATATTTGATGGGCTGCCACAAAGAGGGTGTCCACCTGTTCTCCAAAGAACCCAAAGGCAGGACAAAAAGCAACAGGTGGAAACTAATCAAGGAGAGAAGCATGCTAGAACTAAGGA